GTGTATTGAGGCTACGACGCCCGACCCGCTGCTCTCATACCGGTTGCTACCATTGCCATCGTTGCAGTCGAAAGATGAGCCATCCGACTATTCTCGTGGCTGATGCAGGTCAGGCCTACGAGGACCTCGATACTAGTGCGATCTACACTGCAGTCCAGGAGCTTTTCGAAAGGGTCCCAGAGGTCACAAAAACACATACTGTCCTTTTTACGAACATGGATCGGGGATATGATACACGATGGGGAGGAGACTACAAAATACCGCATGCAGATCTCACTATCTTTTCAATGAAGTCTATGCGACGTGCAGTTTACGGCTTTCTCGGCATGCGAATCTTCCGCATGGGTGACGCTTTCTTGCAGCGGTTGCAGGGCATCCCGATCGGAGGCCCACTTTCAGGCTGCATACTTGAGATTGTGCTTTCTCGCTGCGAGACCATGTATGATGCCGCCAACCCTTCGCGCTTCCGCCACCTGGCCGTAGGCCGCTACGTGGACGACCTGATTCTTTTATCTCGGACCCTCTGCCGAGAATGTGTTCGTACTGTCATCGCCTGCGTCTACAAAAACATAGTGGCGTTTAAAGTTGACGAGAAGTTTGATGTCGTGACTTTCGAGACTGTTGCCCACGCGTTCTTGGATTCCAGGGTCCACTTCAATTTCCAGGAGTTCCTCTTGAGCCCTATACACAAAAACATGAAGTTTGCCTGGACTGGGGGCCCACAATACATCGAGAAGTCGTCAATCCCCCCGCACACCTACCACAATAGTCGACATATTTCCCTTCGACATCGGGCCGAACTTCGGGGTAGACTCTCTCGCTGGCGCAGTCTATCTACACATCCAGCTTTACTCCTACACGTGATTATTATCGACATCCTGGTTTACATCCACCTCGGATACCCTTGCACGTTCATCTATAAGCTCTGGGCCCGCATTCAGCCCTCCTCGAATGTTCAGGATCTCGCCCTGCTAGCCCTACGGTTGGTTGCCCAAGCCTATTCCCCTGCGAAATCCAGGACTACCCGAAGCCTCCAAGGTCATATCCGTAATTATTATGTGGCCCGAGCCCTTCTCCTACGGGCTTCCGAGGTACGACCCCACGGGGACCGACCCTGCCTCCTTCCCTCGACGCCGATCCCACATACTGAGATGGGTGGCAAGCCGTGGCACCCACAAGGAGGGAGGAATCAGTACCAAGGAAAAGGTCCCCAGCAGCACCATTCGCGAGGGTATCAGCCTCGTCAAGGGGGAGGGCTTGCTACGATGGCAGGCCAGTTCAATGATATGATGGGCAATCTAGCGAGCCTTGGCCAGATGGCTCAGATTGGCAGTGCGCTTGCATATGCTCAGACGCAGTTTACAACCCAGGCAGCGGGCGGTGTCCCTCCCCCTGCCAATACCTCTACCCGCGAGCTCGCCGCGGCCCTGACGCACGTGATCAAGGCCGCTCAGCCACCACCGTCCCCACCGCCTACGGGGATGACACCACAATCTCCAGTGCCACGCGGTGACTCTAGGTTGACGGAGACGGTGAACCAGCTGTCTGAGTTCGTACGGTCCAGCCAGTCTGCACCCGCAGTTCCGACTACGCCTCCTATTATGACTACGCCACCGACCCTGCAAAGTGGGTATGATCTCGAGTCGCAGCCGGCCTTCAAGAAGCTGCGACAGGACTTCGATGCCCTAAGCGCCGAGCAGGCAATGCAGAAGGAGGCGATCCAGTCTATTCAGCACACTACTGCCCAGACGGGATCGGACGTGCGTGAGTTGATGAACATGTTCAAATCCACAGAAGGCCCCCTTCCAGCCAGGCGGGCAACCAGGCAGGATAGAGATAAGGGCCCTGCCCTGCCCCAGGCTCCTCCACCTCTTTTCAAGACCACGATGGACCAGGAGACGACCGAGGCCGCTCTCAACATCCTGGGCATCAGCTCAGACCGTAAAGAGGTGAAGTCCCTGGCTGAGAACCTTCCGCTTCCGTGGAAGGAGTGGTGGTCACACGCATGTAAGCTCAAGTCTGTGAGCCAATGGCAGTCCAAGTTACGCAGTTTCGACTCTGAGGCAGAGACCTGGATCCTCGATGTGAAATCTTATACGACGATTGGTAACAAGATCTACCAGTACCTCGACAGTGATGGCGAGTGGAGTGAGACAGCGCTTCAGGACGCTCCACCCTGAGCTGACCTTCCAGTACGCCAGCCTGATCCCCATGTACACCACAGGAAGAGGACCCCGCTCGCTTCCTGGAGTCTCCGGACCGTTTTCTCTCTTGCTTTGAAGTTGCTGTTGATCTTCGCCTTCCCGGAGGCGTGTCTTATCATGCATAAGTTTGGTCTCAGTGCTTCCACGACATTCGAGGACGTTCTTTCAGAGATCTCTCAGAACCTTACCTCCATTACCTGTGCCGTGATGTCCAGCTATGGCCTCAGTTGGTTCCTCTCCCAGGTGTCTACATCTGTACTCCAGGCCTCCCTTGGGGAGGGTGAACTTCTGAGTGGCAAGATTCCCCCGCTTGCTCTCTCACCCTTCCCCCGTATGCTTGGCTATCCATGTCTACTCTATCTTGTACGGTGGATGGGGCCCCTGTACAGATGAGATTGACGCGTGCCATACCCACGCCAATCACCCGCGCGAACCCGCCAGCTTATGATCTCGGGAGCCAAAGGCTCTCCGTCTGAACCTCCCTTTGAAGTGGTGGGTTTGTGTGTGTGCGTGTAGTCTTTTCAGATTTAAGCTTTCTCAGTACAAGTCTCGGATGTTTACCCTGTTGTCCTTAGCGTAGTTGTGCTCTTGGGGAAGTCTTGGGCCGTAAGGGGTTCAGACTCTAGGGCTTTGGGTGGCACCATCTGCACCCAGATGGTGTCGAAGCATGCGTTTATGTGCGAACACACAGAGTGTCTGCTGTATATCCCGCATTAATTTGCCAGCTCTCTCTCTCTGCACATTCGCGCATGTAGATTGCTGTTTGTGTTCAGGCCTGTTTAGGGGCACAGGCCCCCCGATCTGCCGCGGCAGCAGACCGCGCTGAAAGAAGTGCTCGCTCGGGCGGGACAGGCATGAATCATCCATATTCCTTCTACTATCATTGTTGATGAGGGCGAAGGGCGCACCTCAGTGGCAATATTGAGTATCAGGATTTCTCTTGACGATCGTGTGTGTGTGTGTGCGTGTGCGTGTGCGTGTGCGTTTGCGTGTGCGTGTGCGCGTGCGTGTGCGCGTGTGCGCGTGTGCGCGTGTGCGCGTGTGTGCGCGTGTGTGCGTGTGTGTGCGTGTGTGTGTGTGTGTGTGCGTGTGTGTGTGTGTGTGTGTGTGCGTGCGTGCGTGTGTGTGTGTGCGTGTGTGTGTGTGTGTGCGTGCGTGCGTGTGTGTGTGGTGTGTGTGCGAGTGTGTGTGTGCGTGTGTGTGCGTGTGTGTGCGTGTGTGTGTGTGCGTGTGTGTGCGTGTGTGTGCGTGTGTGTGCGTGTGTGTGTGTGTGTGTGCGTGCGTGCGTTCGTGCGTGCGTGAGTGCGTGCGTGCGTGCGTGCGTGCGTGCGTGCGTGCGTGCGTGCGTGCGTGTGTGTGTGTGTGTGCGCGCGCGGGCGGCGGGCGGGCGGCGGGCGGGCGGGCGTGTGTGTGTGTGTGTGCGTGTGTGTGTGTGTGTGTGTGTGCGTGTGTGTGTGTGTGTGTGCGTGTGTGTGTGTGTGCGTGTGTGTGTGTGTGTGCGTGTGTGTGTGGAGGGGGGAGGGGAAAGGGCTCTTCCAGATCCGCTCACCCCCCGCGGTGTCCGAGTGGTTTCTCGTCGTTGGGCATCGTTCCCTCTCACCGTGCGGCAGGCGCGCGGCAGGGGAAAAGAACGGAACTCCGAGTCTCGGTTGGGGGGGGGTCTCGCCCTCCAGCGCGCGAGAGGGGAAGAGAGAGACTGGAGGTTTGGGGGAAGGGAAGAGGGGGGTGTTCCTCCTTCTCCCCGCGCGGAAGGGGAAGAGACGCGAGCTCGAGTCCTGGAGGGAGGGGCTCCCCCTCCCCCTGCCAGGGGGTGCACCCCCCCCATCTCTCCATTCTCGCCCCGGCATGGAAAGGGGGGGGGGCACCTCCTTCCGCCTCCCCCCCATCCCTTTTCGTGTGCGGGGGGGCGGGGAGGGGGGCCCCCTGATCGCCCCCCCCCCCGTTGTGGCTGAGCGTCTTGTCTTTGGGTCTCCTTCCCTGGGATGTTGCCACCTAGGTTTAGGGAAGTGAGAGAAGGCCTTGTCAGAATTCGACAGGGCTTTCCAGAAGCCCTCTCGCCTTCTCAGATGCTGTTTGTGCCTTCGGAGAAGGCTCAGCTTCTCAGCCAACCCAACCCGCCTTCTGACAAAACATGCGCCCTCTCATTTCCCCCCAGGCTCGCGGTCGATGATGAGCAGGAATCATGACTTCTGCGATACGCCCGATCTTCGGTCGAGAGAGAGAGAGAGACATTCCCCACGACTGGCGTTCACGCTGCACTGTTCGATTCCTTCCTCAGGTGCGTTCACGAACATGGTTCGCTCATATGCGTGCTTACCACGAGGGTGGTTATTATGTTCTTCTGGGCCCCAGATGGAGTCAGTGTAAAAGTGAGCCCGGAGGATTCCACCCCATCGGCGATGCATCGGCGACGCGGCGCGATGTGGAGCCCGATGTCCTCCATGCCGGCGTCGCCGATGCATCGCCGACGTCGTTTACGCATGGCCGATGCACCGGTTACGTATCGGCGATGCGGCGGGATCCTTCGATCCTCTCTGCTCGGACTCGAATCCGCGGGGCCTCGAATCTTCAGGACGGGAAGAAACATTAATTATACAGACACAATGGATCGTCGGCTCCCAGAACTTATGGGAAAACATGGGAAGTGGGTGGGGGGAGACGGAAATCGAGAGACCACGAAACCACGAAGAACATATGGGGAATCTGAGGACCTGTGTGTCTTGATTTGCGTGTCCCTGGACCCCCTCGAATCTGCTAATTAGGGCGCGGGGCGGAGGCCGCAACGCACGACCCGAGGTGGGCGACCTCACGGGAACGGTGCCGAGATCCCTGAAGGGGAGGCCGCGCACACGCCCCCCCGCCCCCCCCCGCTTCTCGCCTCCGGGGGCGAGCCGTCGCCGTCGCCTTCGTCGTCGTCGTCGTCGTCGTCGTCGTGGTCGTCGTCGTGGTCGTCGTCATGGTCGTCGTCGTCGTGGTCGTCGTCATGGTCGTCGTGATCGTCGTGGTCGTGGTCGTCGTTGTCGTCGTCGTCGTCGCCGTCGTGGTCGTGGTCGCGGTCGTGGTCGTGGTCGTGGCGGTCGTCGGTCAGGAGCTGGGGGGGGATCGTGCGCCGTCCCTCAAGCTGTGCGAGTCACTCCCTCTGGAGCTGGCTGGGGGTCTGAGGTGGCCGTGCTTTGGTCCCCGCCTGCCGGAAGGGGGGGCAGGTGCGAGGCGTTGGGTGCGACGCGGAGTCCAGGTCGTGAGATTCAAGCAAGGTTACTTGCATGGACGGGGGGAGGGGGGGACGTTGTGAGGTCCGAGAAGAAATTTGAACTTCATACACGGGATTCACTTGCACGCCTTTCCGCCCCAGGGCTCTTGCAAACCTCGAACGGCCTCCCACCTGCCCTCCCGTAGGATGGATCTTGCATCAGTATGGACACAAACTGTATTCGGCAGGCTCGTGACCTGTCAGCGCGGCCACTACCCCAGCGCGGGCGTTCAAGGTTGAGCGCCGGCAGTGGCCTCGATCGATCTAGCGATCGAGAGGCCGCCGATCGTTCAGGGTTTATAGATCCACGCGTCACGCGGTGTCGGAAACCAAAGCGACAGTCGTCACGACACGAATTTGCCGTCCTGGAGGCGCGCAATGCCGCCTGGCGAACGGGAGGCGCGCTCGCGCGGCCCTTCCTCCGACGGCATGCAGACCCGACAGCATGGGCCGCGCACAGAGGGAGGAGGAGGAGGAGGAGGAGGAGGAGGAGGAGGAGGAGGAGGAGGAGGAAGGGGAGGAGGAGGAGGAGGAGGAGGAGGAGGAGGAGGAGGAGGAGGGGGAGGAGGAGGAGGCAGGGGAGGAGGAGGAGGAGGAGGAGAAGGAGGAGGAGGAGGAGGAGGACGAGGGAGAGGACAACGACGAAGTCGTGGGAGATCCTTGCGCTATGCTGCGGCAACAGGGGGTGGGCCAAAATCACCGCACTCACCCACAGCCAGGACCCCGTTGATCACCAGGTCGGGAGTGGGGTCCTGGCTGGGGATGGGGGTGGGTGGCGCTGTCCTCAAGTGAGGCGCTTCGCCGCGCAGGCGAGTTTTTGACAGGGCTGGCGAGGTCAATACATGTGCTTCGCTCAAGCGGGGGCGCAACTTATTGTCAAGTGGTATCTGCAAAACAGAGGGCGCTGTGTAGACCTCCTGGGCGCAGCACCGCTTACGACGACTGGACGAGCGAAGCAGAGCATTGCGCCCGAGCGGAAGCTCCACCGTCAATTGACATCTGCGCACCGCTTGGGCGAGAGCGATACTCCGCACGAGCGCGCACACATTGGCGAGCGCAAAATGCGGGCCGTGCCCAAGCAGAAGCGCAACCTCAGCGCAGCGACATGTCGACATTTCCCAGGCGATGTGCGCCGCGCGTCAGCCCCGACCCGCCTTTTATGAGGTCTACGACACGATGTGCATTTCAAGATGGCAAGTGCCGATTTCGTTTTGTTCGCAGCCCTCCTTTGTTTGTTGGATCCTCGCTTTGAATCCACAGGGCTGCACGTCTCACTCATGCCTCCTCCTCCCTCCTCCCTCCTTTCCCTCGTCATCCTCATTCCCTGCTCTCATCCCTGCTGCTTCTGTTGCTTCTGTTGCGCTTCTTTCGGTGTACCGTTCACGCGGATCGTGCCCTCCCCTGGGAAGCCTCACTTGTGGCCGCAGTGGAGAAACTGCCATGGAGTCCCCGCGCTCCCTTCGGCACAACCCTTCACGAGCTTAGTCAAGGAGCGTGCGACCTCAGGCTCCATGTATGCACTGCCTTCCGACTCCCGGTCGCCCACCTCCCCGCACCCCAGGGACGGCCAGATTGGCGCCGGCCTGTGCCGGCTGTGCTGCCGCCGCCGCGACTGAGCGGCCGGCTGGCGGGCGCGCTCGGCAGGCAGCGTGAGCAGCGACGAGCAGGAAAGCTCAGGGCCCCGGAGACCAGGATTTTGCAGACCACCATTATGCCACGTCCACTTTTGCGGGCAAGACTTGTACGGTAGGTTCGCGTCGTGTCGACCGGCGACGAACCCGCCGCCGGCGTCTAACGCTGAATGACGCCGGCGACCCAGACGCGGCCTATCGTTGAGCGATCTGATGTTTCGGAAACGGCCGATCGTTCAAGGTTGAACGATCCCCGCTGTGTCAGAAGCCAACGCCGGGAACGGCACAACGCCAACCTGTCGTATCCATAATATCCATTACGTCGTGGAGTTTCGGGTCCCATTTCCCCCAAAACCAGCGGTGCAGTGGATATGGATAAAAATCTGACCCCCAGAGGCTACATGTTCATCGATATCCAGAGCGCTTCGGCCTTTGGGTGCCCCATCCCAGAAAGTCCTAGACGCAGTGAATATGGATATAATTTTTGCCCGCACACCTGGGGCAACCGAAAAATGGTGATGGGGAGTGCTTCGACCGAAGGCTGCAGTTTCTTTTGCGCGCCAATGTTCTGGTTAATGAGAAGTCTCAGTTCCCTACCTAGGCTCTGCCTAGAGGGTTCTTACTCTCTTAGCTTAAAGGGGCCGGGCAGTGCAAAGCGCCCCGGGCGGTTCCCCCAGTCCCCGCCCCGCGGTTCCCCCAGTCCCCTGGGAGCTTTAGCTTTAGCTTTAGCTTTAGCTTCAGCTTAGCTTTAGCTTAGCTTTAGCTTAGCGTTAGCTTAGTTTTAGCTTAGCTCTAGCTTAGCTTTAGCTTAAATTTAGCTTAGCTTTAGCTTAGCTTTAGCTTAGCTTTAGCTTAGCGTTAGCTAGCTTTAGCTTAGCTTTAGTTTAGCGTTGGCTTAGCTTTAGCTTAGCTTCAACTTAGCGTTAGCTTAGCTTTAGCTTAGCTTTAGCTTAGCTTCAGCTTAGTTTTAGCTTTAGCTTTAGCTTCAGCTTAGCTTTAGCTTAGCTGTAGCTCAGCTGTAGCTCATGTGTAGCTCAGCTTTACCTTAGCTTTAGCTTAGCTTTAGCTTAGCTTTAGCTTAGCTTTAGCTTAGATTTAGCTTAGTTTTAGCTCAGCTTTAGCTTAGCGTTAGCTTAGCTTTAGCTTAGTTGTAGCTTAGCTGTAGCTTAGCTGTAGCTTAGCTTTACTGTTACTACTAATGCTGCTTTCCTAGGGGCTCCAACTCCTAGGTAGGGTCGCACTGGGATAATTTACTGGGTCCTGAAGTTCCGTTGCATCTTCGGGGGATCTCGTCTGTCCCTAAAGTTGTTATCTTTCCTTGTGCCCGACGCGGGCTTTATGTTGATTCGACGCGGATTCGGCGTGGACTCGACGCGGGTTCGACGCAGATTCGATATGTCCGACATGGATTCGACACGGAATCAACGCGGATAGGGACGCGATTGGACAGACAAGGGCCCCCGAATATCCAACATACAGTCAACATCCATAGCAAGGATACGTTGTTTCTTCAAGGGTTCTCTTGCATTCCTGCTTCTTCGGCCCATCCTGAGCAACTGCTTACGCCCAAGGAGCCCTGACTGGTACAGGGGACAAACAAGTATGTTGCATCCTTGCCGTTCATCCTCATTTCACCTGCTGCTTGCAACGGATGTAGCTTAAGCTTGATCTAGCTTGGCCTCCCTGTCGAGCGTCGCCTCGGCGTCGCCTGCGCCCGGCGGCCCGCGACGGGACTTGCCAAGGGGGGGTTCTTCCGAGGCCGGCTGCGTCTGACCAGCGGCTGCCGAGCCTGCGCGCGAAGCCCCGCCGCGTCGCCGCATGGGTCCGTCGGGGGGCAACGCCAGGGGGGGGACGCTCTAAGTTCATAGTTTTGGGCGTTTGAGTATTCTGGGCTTCTGAATAAGCGTGGGGGGGTACCCCCCTACGGGGGTCAACCTTGCCTCGTCGTCGCGCTGCGACGGGGGTCGGAGCGCCTTCAGCACGCGGTGGCTGCCCGCGACGATGGTCGATGTGGGCCCCCCCGACGCTTACCAAGAAACTCGGAGCGGGCTCTCGAGAACCCTCCAGCCTCGGAGTGCTCTCTAGCAGTGCTCGCCTCGGCGCCCGGGGCTGCCCCGCTCACTGCGGGCGGCCGTCAGGGAGCCAAGGTGCGACACCCGCAACCCAGACGACGGGGACCTCTTGGAGCAGACGGGCCCAGAGCGGGGCAGCATCGACCCCCAGTCGCGCACCCATCGCCGATCGGGGCCCTGGTGCCTCACCGCGCACAGGGAGGCGCGGCTGCGCAATCGGGGGCCCAACGCCGACCTACCGGTGCAAGGCGTCGCCGATTCCAGGTCCATGTTTCCGCCCCTCAGCCAGTCCCCCCGTTGTCGTTCCCCCCCACCTCGTTGGCGCACACTGGCGGGGGCTTCCGCACTCTCCGCCACCTTTGTGCCAGCACCAGGCCCGGGGTGGGGGAGGGAGCGGCTGTGCGGAGCGGTACCGTGTTCGTCTCCTTCGTTTGCTCGCCTCTTTCGTTGCTGGCCCGGGAAGTGTGCTCGGCGCTTGTCCCCCTCTTGGTGGCGCGGACACGCGTGGCGCGAGGGGGACGACTTCCAGAGTGGCCAACACCGGGGTCGTGTGCGCTGGCGCGTAAGCTGCCCGCGTAAGGTCGCGCGTCAGGTCTCCCGTGTGGCATGCCGCGCTGGCGGCCCGCCTAAGCCAGCGCGAAAGGTCTCTAGGTCATCTCACGCAAGTCCCGTTTCTTTTCGTCGATCAGATGGTTTCTTAGAAGCCGTCCCGGCTGCTTGCTGTAGATTCGTTCGGCGTCGGCCCGCGCAAAGGTTTGACACCACGTCGATCGTTCAGCCATGAACCAATCGCGGCCCCGATCGGATTCTGGGGCGTCACCGTGTCCCTTCGGAGCTTCCGCGTCGTTCTATCGTGTGGGGCTCTACCTTGAATGCCTTCGCCAGTGCGTCATCGCCGCATGAGCCTACCGTCTGCGTCATCCCAACATGCTAATACTATGCGTGCTCACCCCAGGGGCGACGCGCGCGCCGAGAACTCTGATTGTGTAAGTTCCGTGTCGGGTTCTTTCTGGCCATTCCGTTCGGGAAAAGATGTATTGCAGGGTGTCTTTACGACCTGGTCGGGTCGGACGCACGCCTCCGAGGAGGACGCGTAGTACCAGCATTCCTTGGTGCGCCCCGTAGCGTAGTGGCCTTCTCAGAAGCCTGCGGAACCCTTCGAAGCCGGCCCCCACCTCCCGACGAGCCCCATCGCGAAAACCGCCCCCATTTTCGCGCGCCGCCGGCCAGCACGCTCGGCGTTTGCCCCCCTCGCTCTGTCGCTCGGGAGCCGGAGGAGGAAGTGCCCATACCCCCACCTTTGCCTCGGTGTCCCTTGATTGGACCTCCTGGGAGGCCCTCGTCGCAACCGCTGGATACTCCAAGACATCCTGGGCAGAACGCACCATGGGAGAGGCCCGGGGAGTAGCGGTGTCGGCACCGTTCGGTTATTCCATGATGTGCCAATGTTCCACCGCCAGTACGATAGGTAGGAGAGGGTGGACGAGGAGGTGGATGATGAGGACGAGGAGGAGGAGTAGGAGGAGGAGGAGGAGGAGGAAGGAGAGGGCCGTTCTGGCCCATGCGGGGGGCGCGTTCCCCACTACCCTAATTATGCTGTGGGGGTCGGCCCGAGTGCGCCCTGTCCGCCGCGCGGCGGACGGCGCGCCGTGCGGTACGTTCGCCACAAAATGTTTCACGCCCCACGTGAAATGCAACACGATCGACGGGATTGTCACTCAGATCAGCGTGATGTGCATCAAGGCCCACGCGAGCATCATTGAGACCGACGTGACATGCCCCGAGATCATTAGAAGCCAAATCACACCGCGACTAAAACGTCAACCACCAGATGTTGAACCACAGGCTATGATACTTACCCAGTGTTTGAAAGAAGTACGAGCAAGGATGTTGAGACCATACACTCATAGAGGAACATGGGCGCGAACAGACATGGCATAAAAACGAGTGGTGTACAACGTCTGGCATGGGATACATACTCGAACCAGCGACATCGTTATCATTGCTACAGCCCACGCTCGCAAGAGCGTCCACGCACGAGCTGCGTAACAGGCAGCCCAAGAGCGAAGAAGATGTGCGTAATAGGCAGACTAAATAGGACCAAGAGCTGCATAAAAGGCAGCGCCACGACCAGTACCATCACCACTACGACATCAAGTGCGCCACCAAGACCGACACCAGGAACGACCCGACCGAGCCGCCCAAAAGGGTTATTAAGTACGTCTTCGTGGAAGTGCCGGTGGACAACGGCCGCGTCGCCTGGCACGGTGAGTACGAACACAGCCGCGCCGCCCACGACGAGTGCGACTACGGTTGTTTTTTTCGATAGCGGCTTGTATTGGTACGACACCAAGGACCACCCGGTCCGGCTTCCTGGACTACGACGGGCAGCAGGGCTACGACAACCGCCAGGATTACAGGAACATTCAGGCAATGGAACACTACGACTTCGACTCGCACCACGGCGATTACGAAGAGAGCGTACCCTCTGTGCTGCGACAGCCTCCAGCAGAGCTACCACGGCCACCAGACGACCTTCGGGGACCAAAAGCGGAACTGCGAGGTCCCACTTTTTCAGTTGCGCCAGCAACGAGCAGAGCTCCGAGAGTCACACGCAGAGCCACGAGGTCCACGTGGCAAGCTACGAGGGCGACAACCTGGGCTTCGTGTGGGCAACGAAAAAAGCTATTACAGCCACCAGCAGAGTTACCAACTCCGCCAGCGACCCGTCGAGGACGACAAGGTGAGCTACGAGAGGCACAGCTACGACAGCCACCAGAAGAGAGTCAAGATCCACCTGCCGAGCTACGAGAGCCACCAGCAGGGCCACCAGAGCAACAACCTGAACCACGACGACCGCAAGCTGAGCCACACGGAGCTCTACCTCCTGTGCTACAAGGACTGGAGGCTGAATTACGAGGGCCACAAGAAGGCGTTTGATGACCACCTGCTCAGCTACAAAACCACCAGAGGAGCTGCTAGATCCACCAGCTCAGCTACGATGGCCACATGCGGAGGTACGATGGCAACTACCTGACTTACACGGACCAGAAGCGGAACTATGAAAGCCTCCCGCAGAGCTAAGCGTGCAGGGTCTTTAATTTTGACCCCCATGTTCAATCTGCGGTGTACCGCTTGGTCCTAAAACCTTGTTCCCCCTCCCCGCTTACCCCTCTCCCTCCCCTTCTCCCTCTCCCCCCCTTCTCCTCCTCCTCCTCCTCCTCCTCCTCCTCCTCCTCCTCTCGACCGCCACCACTACAAACTACGACTGCAAGTCGTGGTAGG